GTTTAGCCACACCCTTGCATCTGACCTTGGGCAAGTCAACCTCTGTGACCCTCAGGCTCATCCTTCTGATTTTCAACCTTCCTATCTATAAAATGGGAATAGCAAATACCTCCAAGCCACCAAAAAACGGTATGTATCAGTGCCTTTGGAACCACAAAATGTTCCTTCGATGGAAGGCATTAATGTGGCTGCCATCTTCACATTTCTCACTTTCATCCCCATCGAAAGATGCTCGGTGAGTTTGATCTGTCATCCAGCCATCTCATTCAGCAGAAATGGTAAAACTGGCTTCAGAGGACTGGGCTTGGACAACCCAGTCATCTGCTTGCCCAGCACAGGCAGGAGAGGGTTAACCAGGGGAGGAGCAACTCAAGCTGCCACCACAGAGGGGCTAGTTGAGTCCAGGGCTACAGCCTCCTGCCACAGCAGGCCCTGGAATGATGAACTTGTCAGGTTTCTTTTTGTTCTCTCTAACAACCATAAACACCTTTGAGGGGCTCTGTCTGAAGGGATCTAACACTTTGCATGAGGCTAAAGAAAACTATCTGCCAACGCCCAGGGATTCTCACTACAAAGACAACCCCTTAGGAGAAAGCTGGAATGCTTTGTTTTCATTTGGCATCACACAGGCCAAGCAGATTTCTCCCCTTTCTTTGCCTTTCAGGTTGGTAAGGGGGACCCTGCAGCAGAATTAAAGAGAAGACAGAGAGCTCCCCCTCCCCCTAGTCCAACTCCCACCCCTCCTTCCCACAGCTGTTAGCTCTAGGATTACACAACTCAGACCCATTTGTGAATTCAGCCAGAGGGCTCAGTCCCACAGCTTCAGGGCCCTGTGCCCTCTAGCCCCCCATTCCTGAAACATTGCCCCCTCCCCAGCCCAGACCAAAGGTGGGAAGCTGAAGACTGTGATGTTCTGGCAAGATGAGAAGTCTGGAAATATCAGAGTTGCACAACATCCATGTAACTAGGTGCCGAGTCTGTCTCCCACAAACAGCAGAGCCGCATGTGGGCCTGGAGGAGCCAGGTGGCCCAAAGCCACCTAGGGCAGAGGCGGCAGCCTGTCTGAACACTCAGGCCTTCCTAGAGGGAGGGGCAATGCCAATAGCTACACCTTGATGAGCAACACCTTCCTTGTATCTCCCAACACAGGAGCCTGAAAAAACAAAACAAAACAAAACACACACACCATTCTACTTGCAAGTTCCTGGGGCAGTCAAGAGTGACTGTCATTTCCTCTGGTGGAAAGTGAGAGGGAGAAGAGACCCCTGAGGGAGCTGCTGGGAGCCTTGAAAGCCCTGGAAACAAGTGAAGATCCAGGCAGTCACTGTGTATCTCTGAGCTGGACTTGCAGGAGGCAGGGAATGGACAAGCCGATCTTTCCAGACTCACATGGCCTGCCTCTAAAAGGATCAACATGGACAACCAACACCTTGCTGGTTGTGGTAACTGCTACTGGGACCACTGGGCATAAACCCACAACTGAGCCAAGGCTCCGGTCATATTGAGTGTTTGGCTTTCTGTAGGGAAAACAGCCATAGATGATGGAATTATAGATCTAGTCTGTTTTCTTAGCCACTTCAGGGGGAAAAACAAATCTGCACCTGAGCTGGACAAAGCAGCAGAAAGAACTTGCTCAGGTAGAGAGAAACCTTGATTCTGGGCTTAAAAGTTATTTGAAACTACTTTCATTGAATTAAAAAAAAATGCTAATTTTAAATAATACCTTGAATGAGTTAACAGATGATAAATTAGAAAAAAAACAAGGACGGAGTTGATTGTTTTGACTGAGTCTTAAAAACAGAAGAATGGGTTTATTATTCAAATGTTGAAATCGTGTTTTTAATTCAATCAAAGGATTTTACGAGTTGCCTTGTTACTGTTTAATCTTCTAAAAGGGCAGAATTGCACGCATTCGAGTTGGCCTGCCTGCCCTTTTGTGTTTGGGTTGCTTTTGACCTTACACATACCCTCTTCTGAAAGAACTGGGTTCTTGGACCCTCAATGCAGGATGCTGTGAATAGTTCCCAGAAGCCCATTCACTGGCCGAGCCCCACGCCAAAAGGGACAGGGCTCAGGATACAGGCTTGGGGATCATTGGGCTTCCCTCTGAGGTCCCTTCCTAGTCCCCCAACCCCAATCTTGCCTGTCTATCCGTCCTAATTCTCAAAGTGTGGTCTGAGAACCAGCAGGGTAGCATCACCTTCAAGCTTGGTGGCAATTCAGAATCATGAACCTCATCTCAGATCTTTAAGATCAGAATCTTCCTTTTAACAAAAGACCCTAGTGACCTGTATGCACATTAGAGTCTGAGTCGCTGCTCTAAGAGATTCTCTGCCCTGCATGTCTGAGCAGCGCCCTCTGCAGGAGACCTATCTCTCCAGCTTCATCTCCTGGCGCTCTCTCTCCCCAAAGTGCTATACACCCAGTGGGGAAGGCTGAGTTCACGCTCTGGCTCTGCCCCGTACTAGTAATATAATTCTAGGCAGGTCATCTGACTTCTAGGAGCCCTCATCTGTAAAAGGGGCACAATAACGGCAATAACACAGGCCTGGTGTAAGAATCAAAGAGGTAATGGAGTGAGGGCAGGGACTCCCTCCAATCTTGTTTCTCCTTTTGCCCCCACACCCACTCATTCTGGTGACTGCTGATGTCTTAGATGGCCTGTTTATGTTAATATAGCACGAGCGAGAGAGCGTCACTAATTGGTACAGCTTTTGTTTGAGGTATATATAAGCTGCCACCGACCAGCCAGTTGCTGGCTGTTTTGCTCATAATAAAGCATGTCCCATCTACCTGCTGTCATTCATCTGTTCTTCCAATTTCCTGCATCCAGAGGGGTCAAATCCCTGGCTTGAGAAACATGCACCCAGCACAGCCTTTGCCAGCCAAATTAGTCCTGACAATGAATGCTCCTCCCTCCTCCTACGGAGTGTTACTCTATCCACTACCCACAAGTGTCCTCGACCTGGCTCACCTTCCTCTTCTCCGCCAGCATTGTCTGGCCAGACGACTTGTTCTGCTTGGCTTGCAATGGCTTGGCAACAAAAATGAGTGTGGCCCGTCGGCCTGTGGCAATGGTTCACCCCCTAGGTTGGCTGGTGAAGTACCTGGGAACTTTAAGAACCACTGATGTCTGGGTCCTGAAATCCTTCCTGCCCCCCTGCCAAGATGTTCATTTGATTGGTCTGGGATGTGGTTAGGATTTGGGAGGTTTCCCGGTTTCCGTGGGGATTCTAATATGCAGGCTGGGTGGAGAGGCACCTCTCCCTGATGCTCCAGGATGAGGACAAGCTCCAGAGAACTCCCTGCTGGTTTATACACAGGGAACTCTGTCTCCGATCTCCACCCCAAAGGGAGCTGATGTCGAATGCTCGCTTAGAAAGTAAAAGCCTCTGCTCCCCAAAGCAATACAACCTCAAATGAACCCTAACCCAACAAATTGAATCCTTGATTAATGGAAATATTTCTTGTTTCTCTTTGTGAAAACAAATAAAAGCAGTTCAGCCTCATGAACTGAAAGGGCAACTTCCAGGGTCTGCCCTGGACACCGTGGGTCCATCTCTCCTCCCCTCCTGCACCCCCTTGAGCAGAATCCACAGGTGTCCCACCTTTTATGCAAACCAACTTACACCCCAGTTACTAAAGACAGACATAGAGGAATGGTATGTTTTAAGAAGCAGTCTCAATATCGAAGCTTAAAACAAAAAAATGATTTCCAATTTTATGCCCGAGTCCCTGAACACCCCCTGCCCCAGCCACGGTTATTTCAATTCATGGGGGACTCCAGGCCCCAGTGGGGTGTGTTTTTAGGATTGTGTGGGACAACCAAACAGGCTCTCCCTTTCCAAATTTTTTAAACTTAAATTTCTTCTAAACTTCTTCAAAATAGACTCGCCCAGGCCGTGGTATTTTGTGGAAGAGCCACATTCCAGGGGTCAAAGAGCTGCAGTTTGCTGACCACGGGCCTACACTATTGACTCAGAAGTTACTGGTAGCTCAGAAAGGAAGTTGGCCCTTGATGACTGACTCAACTGTGGTTAGCGTGGCCTGACTGGGCAGATGTGGCCGGGCCGCAGGTGATGGAACACAGAGCAGGAGTTGAGAGTATGGGAGGTTAGCATCATGCCTGACTCTGCTGAGAGGCCCTCAGGCCTGGGATCAGAGATTCTCCTCTGGGTTAAGGGCACATAGCTCTACATGCCCACCCCTCTCTCACTTGTTGGGAGATGCCACTGATGGAAGCCTGCTGAGCCCGTGAGCAGAAAAAGGTCCAACTGCTGGCCCCAGATCCCAAACCCATGCTTGCTGCTTTCATTCGTTTCATCTGGATGCCCTCCCAGCCCGGACTTCTGGGCAGATTCCTGCTTGGCCCAGCCCAAAGCCTTCACCGCAGGCCTGATCAGCCACCTGCCCTCGGTGCAGCTTCTGCTCACCCCTCAGTATCTACAGAGTGCTGCTGGGCTGAGCCCGAGCCGCTTACAGCAGCCCCCCTCCCCCCTGCTCTGTGCCGGGCAGCTCTGCTCTGGGCTCACCTCACTGGCCAGCACAGCACTGCCAAGAGAGTGACCACTCCGTCTGCTAAAGGGATGGCCACAAGAGCCAGGCAGCAGCTTGGGTGGATGGCAGGTGAGAGGGCTTCAGAGGCAAGGGGCAGCCATACTCCAGGGACCATACCCCAGAGCAGCCCCAGGACCAGAGTATGAGACTAACACCAGGAGTGGCACTGGGCAAGGCTGAGGACACCTTCATGGGCTCAGGTTCTCATGGGCAACACTCGCTTCAGAAGTACCTGTGATGAGGGGCTTATTGACGCATGGATGCCATGTAACTACATGGCAATAAAGTCTACCTTTGATTTAATAGGAAATGACAGATGTGCACTTGGGAGAGGTAGAGATGGGGCAGAAACAGAGAGGGGACAAAGATAGAGACAGACACACACACACACACACACACACACAGAATGGCATCTTGGGGTCCTTGCAGGGGCAGCCACTTACCAGTTCCTTCCGGAGCCAGGCTATGGCCTCGTCGATATTCTCAAAGCCTTCCAGCTTGCCCGTGGCCCCGGTCCCGGCATCCTGGCTGGCACTTGCATTGGGTGGCGGGTGCTGCCTGGGCTCTCTTGGCGGGGAGGACTCTTCCTCCCCACACTCCCGCTGCTCAGCAGCCGGCCTGGGGAGGGGCCAGGCCTGCTCCTCCAGCCTCGCCTGCCATTCCAGGTAGGAGGGCCTGCGGGTCTCCAGCCTCAGTTTCTCTGTCAGGGCCTTCAGGCTCCGGAGGTGGTCGTCAGGAGGCGGGGCTGCTCCCGCCAGCACCTCTTCCCCCACCAGCACCTCTTCCACTTGGATCTGGGGCACAGACATCCTAGAGCCTGCTGGGTGGTCAGACATGGAAGGCGGTGGAGGTGCTGAGGGAGTGCTGGGGGCTGGTAAGGTTGGAGCCCACTCTGGAACGGTCTCACCCAGCTGGGGCCAAGGCTCCCATGGGCATCGCTGGGGTGTGAGCAGCTCCCGGAGCCGAGAGGGACTGGACCGGAGCACACGGAGTGCCGTCCAGAGCAGCGGCAGAGCTTCGGGGTTAAGATTCTTTCCGGAGTCCCGTGGGCGCCATGCTCCGCACAAGGCAGGAACAGACAAGCGTTCGCAGGAATCTTCGGGGCTGCTTTGCCAAGAAGATCTACCAGCCCCGGAGATGCAGGCGGATCAGCGATAGGCGGGGAAACAGCTTCCCCCCTGTGGGGGAGGGCAGGTGGCAAGAAGCGGCTGGCCAGTCCAGGAAGGCCCTGCAGGAAGGGTGCGAACAATGGCAGTCAAGGCTGTGAGCAGGGCCGGCGCGCTCCTGAGCAGGGGATACTGACAGGTTCAGGGACAAGGCTGCTAATTACTACTTCGGGATTAGACACGAGGTGATTTTAATGCCTTAACTTGGAGCAGAGGAGGTAATAATAAACCAATACTTTGTACAGTGTTTCACGATTTAGGAAATGACTGCACCTCTATTACTTCCTCATCCTCATTGCAGGTCTATAATCCCTGGCTTTTGTCCCCATTCTACATGTGAGACACCGGAGTTTCTCAAGGGTTAAATGACTCACCTGACGAGCTCCCCGCAATTAGCAAGGACATGGGCAGGTGGCTCAATTCTGAGGGCTCAGGTCTCCCTGAGCCAGACCCGAGGCACAGCTGCCTGAGGGTCGCTGTGCAGATGCAGGTGTGCCATTGAGTCCAGAAACCACTGACCCCGCCCACCCCACCCTCCACAGCACCTGTCCTCAGGCACCAGCTCCTCAAGGCCCATCTCCCATGCACGCTCAGCTGCTTCCTCCCAAAACAACACCTACTTCGCTCTTCAGAGGAGGAAGCAAACAGACCTGGAGCTCGTGAAGACCCTATGGATTCAGGGTGACTCACCCTTCTGGGAAGACGGTTATCATGTTCCTGCCCACACAGCAGTGCCTTCTGGGCAAGGGCATCAGCTCCCTCATCTGATTTGGCCTCCCCACCTCTGGGGAGAAGGTTGAGCTAAGGTGCTTGCTCCATAATATCAGGGCACAGGGTAGAGAAGTAACCTGGAGTTAGAACTCGTTGGGGAGGGGAAAGTTATGTTACTTATCAGTTTCTAAATCAATCCAGAGAAGGCCTACAACAACCACATCAGGGCCACTTGGGGGCATTAACAGGAGCACCGTGAGTCAGCTAAAGACGATCCGAAGATCCTTTAATCCACTGAGCCTCAGGGAACGTGCAAAAAACACTCCTGTGCTCACCACTGCTCTTCCCTGTAGCCCCGAGCAGCGGGGGTGGGGGTGGGAGGAAATCACCCCACTTCACAGGTGGGAGAGCTGAGGGGCCCATCCCTGGCCCCAGGCAGGTGGCAGGAGTGGGACTTAGGCACAGCCTCCAGTCAGCCTCTCTCTCCTCCAGAGGGTGTGGCCTTCGGGTCAGACCCTGGGGCACACAGCTCTCCAAGCGTGGGCCTGTCTGCTTCTGCGTCCTCTTCTGAGCGGTGGGGGTCACCAGGACCGGCTATGTGATTTGCCCGACTTGGTGTAAATGAGAATGCGGGGCTCCTTGTTAAAAAGCACGCAGACTTTTAAGATGGCAACAGCAGAGGGTCAACCCAAGCGCAGGGCGCTGTGGGGCTGCCTGGATCCCTCACTCACGACGCAGACCCTGGAGTAATACTGTAGGCTTCCTCTGGCATTGTGAGGATTAAAGTAGCAAAGAGCGAGCCCTTAACCTGGTGCGTGGCACACTTCAAATAAGCACACCTCTAGAATCACACTTTAAAAACATTATACTCAGCCGAGATTGGTTTGGCTCAATGGATAGAGCATCGGCTTGGGGACTGAAGGGACCCGGGTTCGATTCCGGTCAAGGGCATGTACCTTGGTTGCGGGCATATCCCCAGTAGGGGGTGTGCAAGAGGCAGCTGATCGATGACTCTCTCTCATTGATGTTTCTAACTCTGTATCTCTCTCCCTTCCTCTCTGTATAAAATCAATAAAATATATTTTTTAAAAATAAAAAGCATTATACTCAACCTATATAATTTTATTAACCAATGTCACCCCCAATAAATTTAATTTAAAAAATATTATTCTTAAGATGATAAGACCTATCAGTCATATGGCCACACCAGTCATATCCCCAGATGGTCCCTTCGGGCTGCCCTGAGCAGTCATCCTGGTGGTCCCTGACCTGAGCCCATCTCCACACCCTTCCATTCTTCCTTGAAAGCCAACTGAGATGAAGTCAGTGGACCCCGCCTCCCTGCTTTCACCCAATTTTCAGGTCTCAATTGCATTTTCATCATGCCAGACTAGGTCTGCCATAGCGAGGAGGAAAAAGAGCCCAGCTTACAAAATCACCATTAAAATATACCCTGCACCCTTCCTTTCCTGCTCACATTTTAAATACCCCTGCTCATGGCTGGGGCCCCCAGGTAACCCAGGTTTGACTGTGTTAGCCACGAGTTGAGAGCAAGGACTAGGGTGGAATGCAAGCACCTTGAATCAGCCCTCTCCTCTTGGCCTCCCTTCCCCGATCTGTGCACTGGCACTCCCCTCCTCATCTGCCTCTTAAAGATGCTGTGAGAATCATCTGGACTCACCAGTGAAAGCTCTCTGCAAACTGTAAAAAACAGTACCGCCTGAGGATTATTACTATGATCAAGGCACATGTCGTGGCTCAGGACTTAACCACTTTAGGAGGTATGGTCACATGCAGCCTGCAGGGACCAAGTTCTCGACTGCTTCCTTTGCCCCCAGCACTTCCCGGGATTTGCTGAAACCGAATCTGTCCTTCTGGTCACTGAACCAGGGAACACTGCCTCTCTGGACGTCCCAGTGCCCAAGGGCCCAGTGGGGTTTCTTCCCTCCCTTCCAGCTAGAATGTCACCCAGGCAGGCCAGGCCAGGCATGACTGAGTTGGACCCAGTCTGAGCTGCAGGAGAGGTGCCAGCCAGCTGCAGGGGGCAGAGGAGCGCTGGGCAGCTTCCTGAGGGCTTCTGTTTATCTGGACAAACCAGGAACTTCCAGGATGTGGGCTCTAGAGGAGGGACCCTCTAATGCCTGGACAGTCAGGCTTTCTTTACACTGAACCCAAGTCCTTCCTACACACCTTCTCTCCAGGCTTTGCAAAGGCAAGAACCTGACAAGGAACCGGGGGCAGCCGGAAAAACAAGGTCAGACCATAGTCCCCCCAGGCAGTCCACCCCACCCCCTGCAAGGATCCAGCCCTGGGCCATGTGGGCCTTTTTGCGGTGGGGACATGGCTTTCTACACACAGCGGCTGCTGTTCAAGCAGGCTGCCTGGCTCGCTCTGGGCCACGGCGGCTGTGGGAGGGAAGGGCTGTGCCAGCCATGAGCTAATTCCTCCGGCTGCCGGAGGAGCCATGTGGGTGCAGCTCAGTCACTCAGCCAACACCTCGCCTCACGATGACCTAATCTGTTCACTTGGACAACTTTCAAACCCACTTCCTAGATGGGCTCTGAGGGCAGGGAATGGTACAGGGGGCCGCTGGCCCATTTTCTGTCCCTGTCTGCCTCTCTCAGACCTGTTGCCCTACATTCTCCTGAGAAACTAGAAAGCCACACACTCTCTGTTTGGATCTACAGGCCTGTGCCTGCTCCTCCCGGTCTTAGGTTCTTTGCTAGAACCGTTTAATTTCTTCTCCATAAAAGTCCACCTGTCCAGCACTACCTGTCCCACCGAATTCCACGTTCTCTCAGGTCCTATGATTTTGTACAGGCTGTTCCCTCAGCCTGCAATGCCCTTCCCTCCCTCTATGCCTCAGTTCTCAGGGATATTTTCCTTCAGGAAGTTTTCCTTAACTTGCCCGAGCTGTGTGTGCAACAAGAGCACTTCAGAGAAACAATGATGTCATCACAACAATATTAGCTAGTGCTTACTCAGAGCGTACCATGCCAGACATTGTTCTAAGAGCTTTACATGCACTCACACATTTAGTCCCCACAACAACCCTTTGAGGCAAGTGTCATCATTGTTTCCATTGCACAGACAAGGAGACTGAGGCACAGGGCGATTGACTAGCTTGCCCATGATCACAGAACTAAGGGGTGAAGCTGGGATTTGAACCCCTGCAGCCGGCTCCACCCTGGCTTATAACTACTAGGCTTACTGGCCCTTTCAAGCCACAGGACTTCTACCAGGGACCATATATATTTTTTTTCTTTTTATGTTTTTTATTTTAGAGAGGAAGGGAAAGGGAAGAGAGAGAGACATCAATTTTTTTTGCCTCCTGTACACACCCCAACCTGGGACTAAACCTGCACCCTGGGTGTGTGCCCTTGACCAGGAACTGAACCAGTGACCTTTCAGTGCACAGGACAACACTCAGACCAACTGAGCCACGCCATCCAGGCTGGGACCTTTTTATGGTGTCGTCCACCAAACTGGGCTTCATGAAAGTGAGAATCAGGCTTTGTATCCTGGAACCTCCAATATGTAGCGCCATGCTGCTCTCTTTAAATGTTCAGGGGCTAAATGAGCAAAGGGAACAGATTTCCCCTCGTTCTATGCCCTACCCTCAACACTCACTCATTCACTCACTGTAGCCTATATACTTGCTCAGGTCTGAGCCAGTCTGGGCAGGCTCAGGGAAGCAAAGTGGACCTGGATTTCCTGCAATGGCACCTTCACTGCCTGTGCCTATCAGACCTGCCCTGACCTCAGGGTCCTGGACACAGGCTATCAGGCCTTAGGAAGACAGGAGCGGCCTCCCCCTGCATTAAGGGCCAGGACTAGGTGCTGGCACATAGGGCCATTCAGTATCCTCCTCCCTGTCCAGCATCATCAGGCAATTTCCACTCAACATCCCTTCCCTCCTTCTGGAAAGAGCATTTTCCCCCCTATGGGGAGCCCCTCCA